TATATGGCAGGCGATTGTGTTTAAACTGGTCTGTCCTGAGAGAGTTCTTCGGAAGGGCTGCTCTGTTAACTTTTAGTATGTGCTTATTGGTGTTTATTTACATGTTTTTCTGATCATATTTTTTCTGAACTCAAACAACCTTCTTTGGCTCATTGCTTTATTTGTTTTCGTACTGTAAAAAAGTACACTGAAATTGAAGTAAGGTTGTCTACAGCATTAGACTGTAGGCCACCTCATTCTTCTGGGTCCTCAGATCCCAGGTCCAGCAGACAAGATCTGCTCAGGTTAGCTGAACACTCAACAGATGATATATAAACATAAACAGTATTACCTTAAGTAAAAGCAAGTTCTCCGGCTGAGGAGAGACTAGCCTTGTATCACCGTATTGTGTGCTCAAAGAAGAAAATGACAAGTAGCAGTGAATGCATGCTTCCTCACACGGATCGTGCTACTCAGGTTCAGAGCAGACTGGTGACCTACTTAGCTAAGGGAGACTTGAAAATTGCTTGGAAGTATTCAAATAGTTTATTGAAGACCAAAGGTTAGGAAACACAAAAAAGTGTTAGAAGGAAACGTACTATAAATTACTATGATGGCACATCTGGAATCAACTACACCCAAGCATCTGGGCACACCTGTGAGGAATTAGTCTCCACTGGGTCATTTAAGGTGGCAAGGCCCATCCGAAGTCTGGGCCATATCTTGTCATGACAGTTTGCATCAAAGGGCACAGAAGAAGGGAACCTTTGCTTTTAGGCTGCTTGTGCTCCCTCACCGGCAAGCTCATCTATCCTGGGGTGAAACATTCCTTCATTGGCTTTGGAACCTACTTCTCCTAGAGTTCAACACAGACTTAAGATCAGCTGAGATACCCAGCTTCTTTGACCAAACATCATATTCTTGGTCTTTTTGTCAGGAGACAGGCATTGTTGGACTAGCCAGACCAGACCACAGCATATAAGAGCCATAATAAATCTCCTTTTAGTATACATAGATTCATTTTATCAGGTTTATTCCTCTCGAGAACTCTGACTACTACAATTACCAAGAGAATATTCTTTCTTGAATATTTATATGAAATCACTGTATATTAGCATGCTATTAGCTTGATAGTGATATACTGATCAGTTTCTTAAGTTTAATCTACTATGAAACCAGTAACTCTTTCTAAGTCACCTACATTATTGGGCAGTACCATTGGTAGAGACCTTGAATGTAGTTTATTCTACTTAATACTCTGGAAATTAATTTTCCTAAATATGGGTCTTCAAAACTGTATTACCAGAGCCTGGGAGAGCATGGAAAGATTTTCATTTTACTTATTATATTCCTCATAGTAACCTTATAGACAATATAGATAAGTTTATTTTCTATGTCACTTTCAGCATTTTGACTGGTTTGTTTTAATTTCCTGCCTTTCTTGCTCCTTTTCTTCCTTCTCATTTACATTGAATAATGTATCTTCAATATTTCTGAAAGCTGACTCAAATGTTTCCTGAAATAATATATAGGTACAAAATAAAGAGATGTTATATTCATTAAGATGTTGGATTGGCAAAATGGCTCAGCAGGTAAGGGAACTTGCCTCTCAGGCTGATGACCTGAGTCCAATCCCCAGGAACCCACATAATGGAGGAAAGAGAAAACTGACTCCTGAAAGTTGTCTGAATTCCATAAGAATGTTGTAACATGTACCCTCCCCTGCACAATAAATATAAATAAATAAATAAAAACTTTAATTACTATGAAGTTTCATAAAATTAGCTATTTCAGTCATCTCATTTCTGTTTTCTCCTTTCTCATATGATAAACCTAACACGTTTTAGTTTGCTATTATGTAACTCATGTATTTCCCAGAATATGTTTGCTGCTAAGGTGATGAACACAGTTCTCATGAACAATTTGGAGTAAAAGAGAAATAGTGATAGCTGGCTTAAGTATGGAGAGTGGGTTGAAAGGGAGGGGTTTTTGAGCCACATATTGCTGGTCTGGGACCCCCCAATTACCATGCCTGGCAAATGCATATCGATTATGATTTATTTTAGAATGGATTTTCTTGCTGCCCAGATTACATCACTGTTCTAAACATGCTGGGCTGTACGTCGGAGGCACCGAGCCTTTCTCAGCCCATCATATGGCCCCAGGAAACAGTTGCCAGAATGTCAGGCATCAAGTGGGATTCAGCAAAGGGTGATCACATCATACTTTGCATGGAAATTCAGACAAGGGGATAAAGAACCCAAGGAGTTCCACAAGAAGAAACCACATGGATAATAAAGTTGAGAATGAACAGCCAATACAAGTTAGACATGGCCAACTCTGAAGCATGTGTGAGGAGAGTGTGTTAACTGACAGGGAAAACTGGGGGTGCCTGAGAAACAAGGCACAGTAAAGTCGGGGTACAACAAGCTACTTTAGGATTCTGGGGAGGAAAGGGACATAGGAAAACTGTTCTACACGTGTTAAATAATAGTAAAATGAACAAAATTCACTATAATGACTTGGAGAGGAAGACTGGCTTTGAGAGGATTTTTGAGACACTGTTTACTGGCCATGAAAAGGCCAGGCAAGACTAAGGAATAAGAACAGGCAAATAAAGAGTTTGGAAGGCCAATCTTTGAAGGGTTCATGAACAATGCTTGTGTATGCAGAACAAGGCAAGAAAGGAGGAAGGACAGACCACTGTCACAGTAGATAACTCAGGAAATGTGGGCAGCTGCGCATGAAATGTTGAGGGGAAGGCAAACACTCAGCTAGAAATGGAGAAGTACAACAGTCTTGACAGAGGTTGTAAATTAAGCCATGAGAACAAAGAATAATCAGAGAAAATGGGCTTGCTTTTTGCTTTCTTTAATTGTTTCATATTAATAAAGTACAATCATATTCATTGTAAGAAATTTGGAAAATACAGGTAAAAATTAAAAATACTCGCAAACTCACCATCAGAGATAAAACCTATAGAGCCTCCACAGTCTACATCCTTTCAGTATTTGGTGGGGTGTTGTTTTATTTGCATTTTTTCTATAATGCTCTGTGTATGGTAGAATTGTACAGGCCAGTGTTTATCCATTACATCCCACCTCCTAGTAACTGTTCCTTGCCCAGACACCAAGGCTTCTCTTACCCAGGAAGTTTAGGGTAGGGAAGATTAGCTCGGATCTCCCTTAAAGAAGAACACTGTAAACCAGCATGTGATGGAACCATGCAAAGCTGAATAATCAAAAGCACACTTTATACAGTGAATAACTGACAGACTGTGCAGGGGAATTCTTCAGGAATGCCTGTTAACATCAACTCGGAATGGTTTTCCCTTTGAAAGGTTAAGATGCTCTTGCCAAGACCAACTACAAATGGAATGGGACTGAGATGTGGACCTGATTGCCAGCTTCTTTTTCTTCAGAAAGTTCCTACACACACTACTCAGCACCTTTCTCTCCACAAAGGAAGCACATGAGTTCTTCCTTACCCAACCAAGGCTCACAGAGGGCTAGAAGATGACCGAGTAACAGATGATCATTGGCACCAGGTCTGTTAAGCACACTGCTTCAAGGAGACTGGCTTGACTAACCACATACTTATTAATCTGCTCACCCCAATTGACTATAAATCACAATGATTTCTATAAGTTGTCAAATACCTTCAAAAACCAACCCTTTTATTGATTCCTTACTGGTCTATCTTTACTGGTCTATTGTTAGAACTCTCCTATATATGATTTTTTTCCAGTAATAGTATAGAACATTAATTTTCCATTTTCTCTTATAAACAATATTTTAACAGCTATTTTACACATAAAACTTTGTTAGCATCTTCACTTCATTCCTTACAGTGGATTTCTAGAAGTGGATTTCCAAAATTGTTTTTAAATTTTCAAAACAGGCTACTAACATGGTCCTAGAAAACTGGCACTGGACACCATTTACACTGGGAACGAACAGCCACTTGGGACTGAATCTTTCTGTTAGGGTAACAGATCATTTAGTGACAGAAGCAGAAAAAAAGACACTTCATGTTTCATTTACACTTGGGTATAGAAAAAAAAGAGACACTAAATATAAAAATTAACTATTGTTGTAAGAAGTTCCCAGGCTCTAGCTGGGCTGAATTAAGCAGGGCTGAAAGAAGTATTATAGAGTCTCACCCAATGGGGAATTGTTGGTTCCAAAGAGAAAAACAAATGTGCTGATGGTAGAGAGCAAATATGCTCATATGAATATGAAGATGTGAACACAGAGAGGCGGTAACAGCATGCAGAGGACCTGTATAGGTCAAGCCAAATGGGGTCCCAGCACTGAGAGGGGAGCGGACCCAGGACCTAACCAATCTGTAATTGCTAATAATGTATTTCCAACATGAATCAAGACTGCCTTCAGATCACCAATATCTCCTTTAGCTATTCATGATATTTTATTCACAGGTACAAAGGAAAGGTATTTTTCCAATGATATATTCTACAAAGAATCAAACTGCCATGCTACATAATGCCACAAAATGTCATCAGAATTTCTTGGAAGTGCATTTTACACTGTAAATGCTTTTTCTGATTTTTAAGTGTTGTTAATTAAATAATAAAAATGAAAAATCTTGATCATAATTATAAAAGTTACTCCTCTAAACTTGTACCTAAGATTTTGAGTCAAGTTAAATTGACTATCCAGTTGCTATCTATATTAGACAATTAGCTGCAGAACTGTCAAATCCCCAATCATAGATCAAGAATGAATTTTTAAATGCCTAGGTAATTAGCTTAAAGAGAATGAAGTTCTCAAAATCCACCTTTTCCATTACATAACTAAAGTTAGGAGTTAGAGAGATTATTATGAGTGCTGTGTCTTTGATTCTTGGGCTTAAAAAATAAATCATGGAATTATCCTTCCCACTTCCTTGATTACTGTTAAGTTCCTTTTGTAAGACTCCTTGATACCCATGATGTAAAGTTTCTGTTACATTTGTAAAAGAGTCACAGACTTATAGACAGTGTGGCATTTGGAAGTTCTCACCTGAGTAAAGAAGGGTAGAACTGTGACATGCAGGAAACCCAGTGAAATGGTTGATTAAACAATGATGCTAAGGAATTTGAAGCTGAGTCATCCATACCGTGCAGAAAAGTCCTAGGGAAACAAAACTAATTATTTCAGAATATGCAGGAAACATTAACTATGGGGAGCACTGATATAATTTTAGAATTTTACTTAGTTTTCACAAGCCAATTTTTAATAGAAGGTGGTCTCATTTTATTGAGGACAATGCATCCACCAAAATGACAACCAATCTAATAGAAGAAGAAGAAAAAGAAGAAGAAGGAGGAGGAGGAGGAGGAGGAGGAGGAGGAGGAGGAGGAG